TGAAAAAACAATCCTAGGAATAATTTATATGGCAATACAACGTTTGCCGGGTCAGCTGGTTCGCTATAATTTTCACAAACGGTAACGGTATATAATTTCACAAGTTCGAAGAAGGAACTATATGTAGAAATGTAACAAGATTGTACAGTACAAGCTGAATAATTACAACATAGAAATAGGTTAAAAGATTAATAAAGCTGCAATAAGGGTTGTTTTTCTATATTTAATATCCGATACTACGTGAGTAATCCAGTGGAAAATCCAAAATTAATAAACTTTTACATCCCCCATACACCTACAGCTCTCACTTCAAAATCTATTTTAAAAATCCCTGATACAAATTGGATGAAATCTCTGACCCGATTCTGAGATCCGTTAAAAATTTTCTCCATGAATCTCCGTTCCATCGCTGAAATTTTTTAATCCGACAGTGTTCGGCAACTAATGAAGCGGGAAAATGAGTTTTTTTCTATTTAAGAACCAATTACTTGTTTACTGAAAAGTTTCCGATAAAATATGGAAGGGAGCAGATTCACTTTTTTGCTGAAGAGCTATGGCGCCTTATATAGCAGTAGATTAAAAAACTTTTCAAGATGTTTAAGGCAATATTCAATGTCAAATATAAAAGGGTTTAATGTGAAATTTGCCAATAATTGGGGCTCTGTAGGTACAGGGGGAAATGAATAAGTCCAAATCTTAAAGATCCATTCGAATGTCTTACTTTTACTGTTTTAGGTTCTAAACCATAGAAATTTATTGTGCATGTTTCTGAGTAAAACGTGTGGAAATAAGAAAGTAAGTCAAGCGGTCGTATTAAGAGAGCCTGTTTGCCGAATTAATCAATCTGCTCAGAGCCACCCGGCAAAATCAAGATATTTACCACTTTATCTTTGAGTTCGATGAGAAATGAAAATAATTGTTCGGTAGACGTCTAATTAAACGCCTTAATCGATTTCTTTGTGCCGGAGCTTTATCAATTATTGCTCACATTGTGCTCTACAATTAGAAGAAAACTTTTCTGCCGCTCCGGGGAAGTTAACATTTTTCTCGAAAGATAAATGTTTATTGTTGTCGATTCAACTGTGTGGTAGTTGAAATTTTACGTAGTGCAATTGAATAATGCTTTTCGTATCAGCAAATATTGCGATACACTAATTGAAAATGTTCAACTGTGATTTGATAGATATATTAAATTATTTCAAAAATGTTAAACTTTTCCTTCAGTTAATCAAAAACAAAGTTGGCATAAAAATTTCTAACTGTTCAAAAAATTCACTAGAAAATGTTTCTCTGCATGAAAATTTTTGTCTGAATTTACTGTGTACCAATCTACTATAAATATTTGCCGAGTTAGGGTGGAACTCACCTGGGTATTCGTATCTGGAACTTCATTTTGTTTTCTTTCGTACTAACGGGACAGCGGTTCGGGAATAGCTAAGAACAGTTGAACTTCGAAAGCCGCCAAAAAGAAAGAACACATAAGGAAAATATTTCAGTTAAAAACGTATTTAGGATTTATTACTGCAGATATCTACACTGACAAAACGGGCGGAACTCACTATCTTGCTACGAAATGGATCTTAAAAATCTTAAAAATTGAGCAAAACCATGATGCATTTTATCACGAAATAAACCCATGTTAGGTAATTTTGAGCTAAAATAAATTGTTAACAGCGCTCTAAGCTCTTGGTTGTTCTCAGAGTTTCTTTGTTGGAATCTACCAAAAATTATTCAGGTTCAAAAATGCAGCATAAACCTGAATGATACTCAGCAAACACCTTGAACCAAGAGCCGGAGCCAAAATTGAGTTTTGCGCCTATCATTTCAATTGGAACAACTATCAACTTAAGTAAAATGTTATTTTTGCAATACTTTCAGGAAAAATTAAGTTGTGTACTTATTCTAACGATTTTCAGGTACGCTTTCCATCACATCTTCTATTTAGCTTTAAAGTAATAACATCAATTGAACTCAGCTTAGTTCAACTAACCGTTCGCATTTTCTGGAATTGTTTTCATCGTAAATTATATTTCCCGAACCACCATCTATGTACTTCTAAGATGAGATATATCCAATAGCAAATAGCCGTAATTCGAAATGTCAGTTCGAACTAAAGGATTTAACGGTTTGCTGGGTTTTCAATTATCCAGGATATTGTCTTAATAAAATAAAGAGCTCCCTGAGAACGTCTAGGTATTTTTTTAATTAACTTTTGTATTTTCTTGCTCTCGAAATGTACTCGCCGTCCAAACTAGATCGGGTACGATAATTTGATTGCGAAAATTGCTTCATTATTATTTCAATAGTAAAAGAGTTGAAGCTGCTTGATTATTCTGTGCAAGCACTTGTACCGGATATCACAAAAGTGATCGATGATGTTTAAGGAGGTTGTTTTGCCTCAAACTGTGCTGGAAAGTTTTAATGGAGATAACGAAAGCCTAGAAGAAGATGGACATTCCATCTAAACTTCTATAGAACAAAATTATTTATATACGGTTAAACAATAAAAATCTGAAAGCTGTTGTCGCATTTAAATAGCGGCTGCCATAAATTCACTTCGCTTCGAACTTAATTAAATAAAATTAAAACGTTAACACAATATTGTGTTTATACGGTTCTATTTCCATTTTCTAAACCGGTCGAACTCTATGAATTCAATATTTTTTCATTTATATAGAAGGTACGATTAAAATTGGAAACTCATACAACTTTTTTACGGTCTAATACCGTTTATTCTGAGATAATTTGCACAAAAATCAAAAGATTTTCCTGACAAAAAATATAATTAAATATCTGAGGAGTTTGCAGAGGCTTAATAATTTTTCAATTATCGCTGGTATTGTCTTATGAAATTTAAGCGCGCTTTAAGAATATCTTCTTACTTTTGTTCAACATATTTTTTTAATTAAGTCTTGTAATTTTCAGTAGGCTGTAAAAGGTCCCCAAACGCCGGGCTTTATCAAAAGAACTTTTATACATCTGAAACCTTTTTTATCGGTGCTGAAAGGGTAAACTAATTACAGGGAGGAGTTAACGATAAGAGTTTGTTTTAGCAGACCAAAGAAATTTTAAAGGGTGGGTTATTTGAATTTATGTCGATGAAATTTGTTACTTTAAAGTTTATTTGCAAATGGCACTTTAAAAAAAACGCAGAAACTTTTCTGTTAAGAACCGCTGAAGTAATATACCGATAATTATATTGGAGTTCCTGGAACTGAGCATTATTTGCCGGTTTAATGCCAAAGCGAAAATATTTCAAAATAATCAATCGGAGAAACATTTAGAAATATATCCAACACATCGTATGTTTGTTTTACACGAATAAAGTTTGCGCAAGCATTCAATTGCACTAGTGATATAAGTGTATTAAAGCGTGCGATTATTGGTTGAAATGGGAAATAATAGCTAATTTAATTATAAATAAACCAGCAGAAACATCCAGTATAAGACAAAACGACTTGACACTAGTGTAAATTTCATGTTTTCATGCCAGATTTATTTAATAGAAGCCAACACTGTGTTCAGTTGTTTGTGTTCGGCACTTTTTCCGTTTTGCTCTTGTGCCAACAAGTTGCAGGATTTATCGTGGCAAACAAACTAACCGAAAAAGTGGCTGATAGTGAAACCCGTTCGTCCCTGTCGGTGCTTGACCAAGACCCATGGTAAATATTGAGAATGGTCGCATGCAAACTATTGCACAAAGGTCAAAAGCACAAAAGTTATAAAACTTTTGAGCTTTTTGTTGAAATATTCATTTGAAAGTTGCTTTTGTGGAATATGAGGCTTCTGCCTATTTTCATTCCACTTTGCTATAAATCAATTTGATTGCTAATTAACTTTAGAGTTAAAGCCAATAGTAGCAGTTTAATTAGGATAATACAACTAGATAAATAAAAATTAGCAGATTTGCAGGTACCTTCCGTAAAGCCGTCAGTATCAGGCAAAATTCCTCACC